CCAGCGCAGGGAACGCCCCGCTTCTCCCCAGGCCAGGCCGGGCCGGGGGCCCTGAGGTCGCAGACGGGGACTCTGTCCGCTAACGTCTTGGAGGCCAACTCCTGCTTCAATCGGAGAGAATCCTTTTTGGTCTGCCGGCGAACCTTCTCATGCTCTTTAAAGATGTACGATTCTTCTCTATAGCTCAGTCCAAAGTGCTTCGAAATCGTGGACATCTTGACTAATTTGTCCTGCAAAATAACAGTATGTTACCATATATCAAAAGTTCTGTTGACAAACATTCCAACTCAAAAAGCTTATCATCGCAGCCCGCTCCCTGTGCTCCCCGAGACACCAGTGGGCAGTAGTACTTTATATCATTTTAAAATCAACTACTGACCTTTTCAAAGGATCCATGGAAAACCTTTAAAGCCTTTGTTACGGTTTCTGAAACCCCTATTGGATTTATTGTAACCCTAGAGACCCGGTTCACTAAATTCTATTCTGCACTGGGGGGAGGGTCCCTCAGCCCACGGCGCCCCCTCACAGTCCAGGAGCCCTCAGGGCATGTCGCTGAGGCAGGAGAGGCTCACCGAGTGCCCAGCCCGGCTTCTGGCTGAGCAGCGTTCCCCCTGTGGGAGCACACTGACCACCAGGGGGCAGCTCCTGCATTGAGCGTCTGCCCCCTGGTGGTCAGTGCGCGTCATAGTGACTGGTCTTCCCCTGTTCGGTCGATTTCCAATGAGCCTTTTAGACTATAATGTAGTGTCCCACTTCCATAGTGCACATAGTACACAGAGACCATAGTGCACACAGGCACAGAAAACCTCAAGCAGTCTGGCAGGATAGCACTTGCCACCTCCTCCTCCAGCTGGTCCTGGGTGTCTCCATCCCTTACCCAGCCCTCTTCCCTCCATGTGCCACCTGAGCCCCAGCAGCCACAAGGTAGGCTGCAGTGAGATCATGAGGCCTTGCAGGCCAGGTGATTGAACTTTCTCTGTGAACTACTAGAAACTATTCCAAAACTTTTCCATAGAAAAGTGATTTGACACCATCTAGTGCTGGAGGGATATTAATTTTGAGTGGGAGAAACAGTAAAGGGAGGGACAGCAAATAAGAGTATCCACAGCTTGGGCCTTAGGCCTGACCTTGGTAACCAGCAGAGTGAAAACAGAGACCTAACAAGGTAAAACTGATAGTATCTGGCCAATGATTAGGAATAAGTGGGAGCAATTAAAGCTTCTTCATAAAACAGGAACTTAGAATCACCTTCATAAAGTCTTGGTCATAACCAAATACATAATAAACCTTCTGCTATTCACTGCATTGTACACTTAAAAATAGTTAAGATGGTAAATTTTATGTTTTGTGTATTATCACAATCAAAGAAAAACACTTCTGCTATTCAGCAGGGCAAGTTATCTATGATCATAAGTGGATTTTGAGATGTTAAGAGCTCTGAAGTCACTACCAAAAACAGGACAGGAAATATAAATAGAAAAGGGTTAATGACAGATTGTTTGGCAATGTCACCTGTGGCAGGTAGGATGGGTGAGAGAAAAAATGAGTTAGGAAAATGAGAACAGAGTTCCACAGAAACCAAGAATAGAAGAATTTCGAGAGTAAAGATAAAAGAACCCTGGCAGATGTGACCCGGTTGAGTGTTACCCCAGGCACCAAAAGGTCACCGGTTACCCAGAGATCACCAGTTCCTGAGAGGGGATGTTCAGGAGGCAGCCAATCAATGTTCTCTCTCTCCATCTCCCATCCTCTCTCTCTAAAATCAATAAAAACATATTTTTAAAAAAGAATAAGGGTAAAACAATGAAAATAAAAGCAGAAAATAATGAATTAGAAAAACTTATTTATTTTTTAGAAAACCCAAGGCCAAGGTTCTTTGACAATAAATAAAATAATAAAGCAGAAACACCTCTGGAATGTCATCATTGTTTCCAAATATGATTATCTACCTACAAAACCTAAGCACTAAAAGCTAATCCTATTTAATAAAGAGGGAATATGCTAATTAACCCTCATGCCATCGAAAAGATGGTGGCACCCACAGCCAGTAAGGAGGGAATATGCTAATTGACTGCCACACCCTCAAAGATGGTGGCGCCCACAGCCACAAGATGGCAGTGCCCAGTCCCCTCAGCCCCCCTGGGGTGGCAGGTGCGTGGCAAGGCTGGGCCCACCCCCAGGGGGGCCTGGCCAATCCCCTTGCCTGCCTCTGGAGTCCCACAGTCCCCTCAGCCCCCCAGCCACCCAGCCGACACCCTAGGCACAGGCAAGCCTCAGATGGTGACTACCCACCTGCCCAGGGTCGCTCAAGGCACAGATAACCAGGGCCGGCCAAGGCTTGTGCTGCCGGCAGTGGCAGCAGTAGAGGTGTGATAGGGCGCCACCTTCCCCTGATCACCAGGTAGCCTCCCACCTCAGAGGGCTCCCAGACTGTGAGAGGGGGCAGGCTGGGCTGAGAGACCCCCCCCCTTCCAGTGCATGAATTTTCATGCACCGGGCCTCTAGTTAGTATTATAATAGAATTGTACAAGGCATTTAAATTTTTAAATAACTTCATTTAAATCAAAATGGTATATTCAAAAGCAAAATGTTAAAATTACATTATATAAAATTTATAATTTATTTAAAAAGTAGGAATAACAGAACAAAAAAGTCCTAAAACTGCATGAATTAATTTTTTAAATTTTTCTGAAGTACATAAAAGAGACTCAATTAAATAAAAAGTTAATGTTCCTTGGTGAGAAGACCAAATATTTTAATTATAGCAGATCTTTCCAAAATACTGTATTGGTTTAATGCTATCATAATCAAAATCTAAAAATTGTATTTTAAACTTTGAAGAGTAATTCTGAATTCATTTGAAGTAATAAACAGTAAATTAGCCAAATTTTGAAAAGGGAAATGAGTAAGCACTTGTCCAACAAGATAATGAAAACTTATATAGCCAGCATGGCTCAGTTGTTGAGTGTCGACCTATGAACCAGGAGGTCATGGTTTGATTCCTGGTCAGGGCACATGCTCAGGGTTGCGGGCTCAATCCCCAGTGTGGGGTGGGCAGGAGGTAGCCAATCAATGATTCTCATCATTGATGTTTCTATCTCTCTCTCTCCTTCTCCCTTCCTCTCTGAAATCAATAAAAATATTTTTTTAAAAAAACTTATACAGATACAAGCATTAAAAATGATACACTGATACTAGAATCAACATATAGACTGAGCAAAAGAATTATGAATAATATGGCTTATGTTATAAATACAGTATTAAATTGGTGATAAAAGAAGAAATATTAATAAATTATGCTAAGGCAAATGGTTGAATATAGTATGGGGGTAGGGAGGGAAATTACACTTCAATTTATGGCATGCTTCAAAATACAATGGATTTAAGACTTAGACATGGAAAATAGGTTCTTTTTTAATTGGCATTTCTTTGCTTAGCAGCTATTTACATTTCTTGGTTGAATTTCTTTATATCAATTCCTAAAAGAGTTATTTTTACAATTAGACTTCTTCATTTGTCATACGGTATGTGAAATATGAAGAAAACATCCTATATATCAGCCTGTAAATATAGTCATGTTACTTTTAATTTCCAAAATGTCCATTGCTGGCTCTCAAACCCAAGACCCTGCTACATGCAGAGCTCTCATCTGTGAATCAGTAGGCTTTCTTTCTCTGTGCAGCTCCACTGCTGACCAGACCTTATGATTCAATTCTATCTGTAATAAGATTTCATATTAAAAAGTGAAAATAATAATCTTTTGCCTCTTTTTCAGGCCATAATATATGAACATTAGAAATTATTTCTAAAGCTCTCAAGGAAGTTTCCTTATTTTTAAAATGCTGTAATCTTTCTTATAGTGTTTTGACTATTATTGTTTGCACAGGTGGTAATAGGTCTATACTGACACCATCTGCATTTCTTTCTATAAAAGACTAAAAGTAGTGCCTGGAACAGAACACAGACCAAAAATACATTAATGCATTATGAGAATTTGACTTGACTCTCCCAACTGCACTTCCCTTTTTTTTCTTAGTTCCTGCTTTGTATTCCCTTCCCAACTTCTCCTGGCTTATAGTTTGTTGTTGACATTTAACAGGTGGTTATTGTTCAACATTTCTCATTACATTCTATTGAGTTCTTCATAAGAAAGTTGCTCTTTATATGTTAAAAAATAAACCAATAGGAAATAGAATTAGTTGACAGGAACTTCTATTGTGTTTTCAAACTAGGTGGTATCCCAATGCTAAATGGGCCAGTCCGTCAAAGCTTGGTGCCTTTATAGCCCCACCCCCACCCCTCAATTCTGCAAAACATGTAAAATCCTTTTTAAACATCCAATATTATGGGAAAATAATGTGCTCT